CGCCAACACGCTCCGTGCCGCACGTCTCCGACTACCCGGCTCGCTGTATCATACGGGGCCTCTCCTCGTTTTCTCCCTCGTTGCCGCAGACTGGCGCGCTGCCTCCGATGCCCCCGCACGCGAGCGCACTACTCTTGGACAGTGGATCCAGGACCTTGCCTGGCTACGATGTGCCGTCAAACAGTGCCAGGACCTACCAGCCCCAGCTGAAGACCTCAAACCCTGGGAAACATTTATACGACGAAGTCAGACAGCCTGGAAGCGCATCATACAAGTGGCGATGCACGCGTACACCCAGTACATTTCCAGGAAAGAGCTTGCTTCCCATATGGAATCCCAGTTTTTTGCAGCTGTAAGGCCAGCAGGTGTGCCAGAACGTGTGTATACCGACGAGCACGGGCTAATCGTCCCACCGCCGTCTCCCGTGCAGGAAGCTACCATGGAGTGCCCATGGTGCGGTGAGGTTTTCGCACGACATCGAGCAATGCGCACACATGCCGCCCGTACACACCGACAGATTGCGACACTTGCGCGTGGTTATGCTGCTAGGGACGGTTCATGTGCAGTGTGTCTGTTAAAGTTCAACGCCAGACCCCACCTCATCGACCACCTGTCGAGTGATTCCCCTCGATGCCTGCTGGGCGGCCTCTTAACTACAGACAACCCAGCACACCACCTAGACGACACGACTACACCACCTCGACCAATCGGAGCTACACCCCACATCAAGATTCCCCGCCGACATGTGATCGTACCCACGACGCGGCTACTTGGGCCGCTCACTCAACTGGCTACCGACCTAGCGACGTTAGTTACACAGGAGTACGCCCGCCAGGTTTTACTTGAATCGGACCCCTACCTCACCTGCCGCCTGCGCGGCACTCATGCCACCTTCCCCTGTCCCACTCCTAGGCGCTCCCCCACCCGCCCAGTACCCGCCAGTACAGACGGAGCGGTATCCGACGCGTATGTATCTGACCGAGCAGTATACACATGCAGCTGCTCAGGTTCTGCCGTCAGCGATCCGACGGTCAGAGTACTACATACTAAACCTATACTGTGGGAGACGCCGTCCTGGGGATGTCCAGGCTTGCTTAGAAATGGAGGAGTACCATACCGATTTCGCCGTATACGTACTTTCGATCGATATCGCTATCGATCCCGTTCTTGGCAATATGATGCGCCGTGAATCCCTAGACATTTGGAAGGAACACATACGTGCAAAACGTGTTGCGCTGTCAGGAGGAGGGCCCCCGTGCGAAACATGGGCTGCCATACGCTGGGCCCTTGACAAGGGCCCCCCACCACTACGTTCCCACGACGATTTCTGGGGCCTGCTATCGGTTACGCCGCGCCAGATGGAACAGCTACGTGTGGGCAATGAGCTCCTTGGAGCCATGATTGAGCTTTTCGCCGAACATTTGATTGTGGGCACTTGCTGCTGGATGGAGCATCCCATGCCAGCCGACTGGAGACAGGCAGCAGTGAGTTCTTTCTTTTGCCCCCCCCCTACGGGCCATCATGGCCTCCCCAGCCGCGACCGTGACAGACTTCGACCAATGCGAACACGGCCAGGTTGCTCGAGCTCCCACCCGCATTCTGGCGCTGCGGATGGAAACCCTTTCTGGCAGGCTTCTGGAGACCCCAGGTCGTGGAAGATGTTCTCACGGACGGGGGGCCCACGAGGTACTCATGGGGTTCGATCGGGCCCGAAACGAGTGGCGTACTGCCAAGAAGAAGACATACCCTCCTGCTCTATGTCGAGTATTGGCCGACGGTATCACAGACGCGATCAACCATATGTGTGTGACGTGTGGAGACGATACACTGCCAGAGGACATGAGGGAGGAGGAGGAGGAGTTTCGTGGGTCCCTGTCAGCTTTTTATGTAGCATGGGACCCATATCTCGGTACTGACGAGTCTTGGGCGCCCGATTTTGTCGATTCTCGGTCCCGGAAGGTGCGTGCCGATCCAGAGCGCCACAGGTTCCTCCCCCCCGAATCGCCAGCCACCGAGTATGCAGACGCAGGCGTTGTGCATGATTCCACTGCGGAGCCGCGGGACCCCGGCCCGATCGAGGCCTCAGAGGAACAGGAATATGCAGATGTACTTGCTTTCCTGGATGGCATTGAATTGCCACCACCTGGCTCGCTTGCTCCGCCCCTTGCACCCGTTTCCCAATCTCCGTGTCCCCCGCCGCCCCCACAGCCCGTTGAGATTACACCAGAGTTGCGTACCCTAATTGCTACCAAGCGCGCGCAAGCTAGAGAGCGACGTCGGACTCGACTCGCTCAGCGAATAGCCCCATGGACTTCCCAACCCGGTTTCGGGGTAGGGCTGTTTGATAATGCGCATGAGTAAATAGGATGTTGGGCGGAGGGCCTCAGGGGTAGGTAGTGGATGGGTAAGGGATTGCTTTCTCAGTCAGGCACTTTGTCAGCCCTGGCCTTGCTCTCACATACGCTTCGTCTTTCGAGCCTTGCGTTGCCTCTTTTATCTCACCTTATTAGATGCTCACAGACACCCGCGCCACGCACACGTCACTTGGGTGGACCACCGTCTTGGGTGGTGACAGGCCAGCAGGCTGACAGCGGGGTACTTGTGCGGCCGTGCTTTGATCTCTCCGCCTATGTTGCCAGTGTTTCGAGCTTTGCGAAGTCCTTGCTTGTGGCTGGTGCTATGGTTAATACGTGCCCTCCTCGTTTGGGTAGTCCCGTGGTGGTATACAGATAACCCCCAGCTCAACCGTCAGTTTCGAGCTGAGCTGGAATCACGTCCGCTGAATGAGCTTGCATTCCATAGCCGTCTGACCTCCAGAGTTGCGCCACAGTAGGCCTAACTTTCGTGTGGATCAGTTTTTTCTGCAGGCAGCCTCTCTTGGACCATGGATGTGTGTCTGTCGGCCACCTTCAGTTTCCAGGAGTATCCGACTGCAGCAGGTTCAGGTGATTGTTGTAGATTGGTTGGTCGGGCAGCGGAGGTTTTAGCAGCGAGGCAGTGTAGCAACAGTCAGAGAGAGCGGCAGCCCGCCTCTCTTGCTCTCTCGTGCGCACGCCTGCCTGCATGTGCCGTCCCGCCCGCTTGCCCACTCTCTCGCTGACAATAAATTTCAGACAGTGCGTAACAGGTTTCTGAAAGCAGTTGACGTGCGCAACTGTAGACAGCTCGAGAGTCAGCGTGGTCGGCCGAACCGAGGGTCGAACCGTGAGGGGAGGGGGCCATAGTGGGCGCTCCGAAAGGAACTCGCGAAGCCCCCGCCCCACAGCGGCGCTCGCCGAGGTAAAGTCGTTGAGTGCAGCTGTTTTGAGAGCTGACAGCGGTCGAGGAGATCGCAACATGCATTCGGGAGGGGGTGGAGTATGTCAGGTTGGGCGGACGTGCTGAGTTCAGAAAGGCATGTGCCTGCCTCTCTTGCTTCTTTCCGCCGCCGCCTGCTTGCCACCCGCTCGCCTGCTCTCTCTCCACCGTCAACCTGGACAGAGGTGCGCCCCCTCGCGTTTCTGTCACCGACCGACTGTCAAGCTTCAAGCCTTGGCCCGTGGGGGGCAGCGGCCGGGGGCTCGGTGAGCGTTGTCCGTCGCTAACCACACACCCGTTGCGTGTGGCACCGAACCCCCGAGTGTCCGTCGGTCCGCGCGCCGCCAGCCAGGCGCTCATGCGGCTGCACGCCACAGCCCCCGCTTGCCGCCAGCCTTTCTTGCTTTTGTCTTGCAGATAAGGATGGGAGTGGGAGTGGCCGGTAGTTGTGAAGAGGGGTTAAGGCAGCGAGTACATCTCTGTCAAGCGTGTTGTCTTGGTGCGGCCAGGGTTACGCCGAGAGCAACCGCGCAGGATTGCCCACCCTGGCCGCAGCCACTTCCTGGCCACGGTTGAAAGTTTCAATCCCTTGCCGCCTAGTGCCAGACGCTCTGCGTCCACATTGCTGCCCCGCACCCAGTCGTGCGCGTAGTTAATACTATGGGACTGGGTGGGATTCATGGGATTGGAGGAAGTTACTGTCTGACTTGACTTCAGGTGCCCGTGCAGAGTTTGCGAGTTTCGCCTCTTAGTACAGCCACACGAGTTGACTGTGCTGACTGCCTCTGCTAGCAGCAGCGCCGCCATTAGCTGACAGGCCATATGCTTCATCAGCAGCGCAATCCAAAAATCCTCCTCCCTCCTCCCTCCTCCCTCCTCCCTCCTCCCTCCTCCCTCCTCCCTCCTCCTCCGCTCCCTCCTCCCTCCTCCTCCTCCCTCTCTCCTCCTCCTCCTCCCTCCTCCTCCTCCCTCCTCCCTCCTCCCTCCTCCCTCCTCCCTCCTCCCTCCCTCCTCTCCTCCTCCCTCTCCCTCCTCCCTCCTCCCTCCCTCCCTCACTCCCTCTCCTCCTCTCCTCCTCCTCCTCCTCCTCCTCCTCCATTCATCATCAATCATCAGCATCATCTCATCATCATCAGCAGCAGCAGCAGCATCATCATCAGCATCAGCATCAGCATCAGCATCAGTATCATCAGCATCCCAGCATCATCAGCATCATCAGCATCATCAGCATCATCTCATCATCATCATCATCATCATCATCATCATCATCATCATCATCATCATCATCATCATCATCATCATCATCATCAACAACAACAACAACAAACTTATTACTCATCCTCCTCCTCCTCTTCCTCCTCCTCTTCCTCCTCCTCCTTCTTCTCTGCCTCCTCTTCATCCCCCTAATCCCTCCACGAGTCGGTGAGTTTTGACAACCGGCTTAGGTGCGGCTCGAACATTTAACGCGGGCGTTCGATCTGCTATTTTTCGGGCCTCCGCCTGGCAGGTGCCACGCAGAAGGTGCGGAGGGGTGGAGTAGGAGAGTCAACCCCGCTAGGAACACGTCCGCCCTGCAAGCTGCCCCCTGGCCTACATGCGCCCCCCGTCATATTCGAGTCAGCCACCCTCGGTCGCCGCGTTGCGAGGAGGTGATTCGATGCAAATCGCCCGAGCCTGCCCCATAGCACGCCTAGGCCGCCGGCCAGTGGGCGAGCGCGTCCACGGTCGTGAGGCTCAGGGGGGAACTGCCTGCCAAGGAGGGTGCCAACTATACACCTGCTCCGACCTCGGCCAGGCCCATCCTGGGGCCCAGATCCAGGGAGGCGTGCAGTCAGCGTGCCACCACGAGGGAGACTGCATGGAAGGAACCCAGGAGTTGTTCTGGCCCCGGCGAGCCTCGGCCACGAAGAGGTCCCCCGGCGGAGATATTCAACGAGCCGCCCGAGAGCAAGAGAGCCCCGCCTCGGCCGCAGGTGGTCCTTCCCGCAGCGTCCGAGCTCTGCACTCCTGTGCTGCGGCGCAGCGCGGCAGCGGCGGCCCGCACGCGCGCTCCAGCGGACCTCGGGAACGGCAGCCACGACCTGTCCTGCGGCAAAAGGGGGCGTGAAAGGCGAGCGCGGCCGCAGAGGAGGGCCACGGGGAGGGAGGGTACTCGCAAGGCGAGGCGCTGTCCCTTGGAGCGGCCAGTGGCAACGGGGAGGGAGGGCACTCGCAGGGCGAGGCGCTGCCCCTTGGAGCGGCCAGTGCGGCCCGCCGGTGCTGCATCGCCCTGGCAGTGGGCGCGGGGCGGCATCACGGCCACGCCCGGGGGCTGAACTCCACACACCAGCACGAGACCCAACATGGGCCTGGCCGGGATCGGTGCAGGCGTAATGGCTGGCGCCCGTCCTCCCGCCTGCGTCCTCCCCTCGAGCCGCGGAGACCCACTTCGGCACCCAGTCCAGGAGCGGCACGGACGCCGAATCCGCGGGTCCAGCCCGCTGGACGATCGCGGGTCGCAGGCAACGGGCCGCCGCCACCGTCGTCGCGGCCGTAACCGCCGTCGCCCTCGTCGTCGACGTCGTCGCCCTCGTCGTCGACGTCGTCGACACGTCGTCGTCGTCGTCGTCGTCGGTCCAACCCGCTGGACGATCGCGGGTATCAGGCCGCCGCTGCCGCCGCCGGCGCTCGAGAAGGGCACGCTCCTGGGGCTTTCCGAGGAGGGGTCCGCGAACTGCGCCAGGCCCTTCAGAAGCCACACCGCCATCCTGGCGAGGCGGCCCTCTCGGTGCCCCCGGAGAGGCTCTCGCCACAGGGTGCCAAGCCGGGGTGCAACACGACCAAGGGGCCCTCTGGAGAGGCTGGTGATTTGTCATGGGGGACACGGGTGGGGGAAACGGGTCCTCGACCCCGGGGCCTTCCCCCAGGGCGAAAGCTTCACCCCGAGTCGCGTTCTGAGGGTCCAGGGGCACGTGAAGACCCCCGGGGCCCGAGAACGGCAGGGCCCGTTTCCCTCAGGACCCGTTCCCCCCCCCCGTGGCGACCTGGAGACATTGGCGCGATTCGATGCTTCGCTGATGGCTTCCCCCATGGCGACCTGGAGGAATTGGTGACTCGATGCTTCGTTGATGGTCTACCGACCTGATGGTTCCGCGGAGCACCGCTGCACACATTCGGCTACACGCAAGAGTGACCCTGGGTAAGAGAGCCCTTTGGTGCGCGGCCCTTCGGGGGCCGCGGGGGGGCGAAACCTGGGCGCGCAGGCCGCTGCTGCTGCTTCGTTTTCAGCCATCTGAGGACCCATCTGCGCCCGCACCACAAGGTCACTCTGGCGAGAGTTGGCGGCGCGCACAAGGGGGTGGAGGGAGGGGGGAGGGCTTCTTAGAAGGAAGCTGCTTCTTGGAAGGCGCCGGCCTTGCATCTGTAGATAAGGCCCGCGCCTTCTGAGAAGCAGGGGTGCTTCTAAGAAGCCCTCTCCCCTCCCCCCACCCCCACCTGCGCGTGGCTGAGAGAGGTCACTCTGACGTCGAGTCGGACACCTGCTGGGGAGCCGCCCTGCCAGCTCCGCCACCCACCAGCCGAGAGCGGCCGCCGGCCGCGGCTCCAGAGCGGGGCCGCGCCGACGAGGCGCCGAGCGGCCCTCCTGGGGAGCAGGCTGCCTCGAGGCCTCGGGCTCTCGAAGGCCGACGAGGAGAGGAGGAGGAGGAGGAGGAGGAGGAGGAGGAGGAGGAGGAGGAGGAGGAGGAGGAGGAGGAGGAGGAGGAGGAGGAGGAGGAGGAGGAGGAGGAGGAGGAGGAGGAGGGAGGAGGAGGAGGAGAGAGGAGGAGGAGGAGGAGGAGGAGGAGGAGGAGGAGGAGGAGGAGGAGGGAGGAGGAGGAGGAGGAGGAGGAGGAGGAAGAGGAGGAAACCGCCTGGGAACCGACGTCATGGTGCGCCAGCGGGCGGTGGATCCGGATATCCGGCTTGGCCCCCACGGGGGCCCGAATGGGTCTATGTCCACCGCCGCCTGTGGAGGTCCACTGAAGGGGCCCCAGGACACACAAATAAATACACACAAATAAAAAGATTCCCCATATTTTCCCATATTTTCTGAATTTTCGTCTTCGCCCCCACTCCCCATATTTCCCCATATCTTCCTGGGAATCGACGATGGATTGTGTCTGTGTGTGTGTGTTTTCCCCTCCTGGTCCACGGGGATCGATCCCCCCGGCGCTGGCTCTGCACGAGTCTCCGCCTCGGACGGCTGCGGGAAGCGGCCTCACGCCGTGAGGCTGGCTGGATAGGGAAAGATGTTCTCGGCCGCCAGCCGCGGGGAGGGAGTGAAAAGGGGGCGGGCCCTCCGCGGAGACGGGAGACTTCTCAGGAGGCCGAAGGGCTTCTGGAAGCCCCGCCGCCTTCTGAGAGGGCCTCCCCCTCTAGAACGTGTATAAATAAACATACATATCTATATATATATATAATAAATAGACATATGAATCTATATATATATACACACATATCCTGGCAAAAGACCCAACCATATGCAATTGTGAGTAGCGCAGTTGTGAGAACCGTATTCGGTGGAGCTCCGTATGGGGCCGCGAAACGCGTGAGGGGTGGGCCAAAACAGGGGTGACGCCCACATGTGAGCACTGCCACTGGGGCCTTAGGTGGAGCCCCCTACGGGGCCACGAAGAGGTGTCCCGAAACGGGGGTGACGCCTGCGTCTGAGCACTGCCATTGGCGCCTTCGGTCGTGGAGCTCCCTATGGGGCCACGAAACGTGTGAGGGGTGTACCGAAACGGGGGTGACGCACACATGCGAACTGCACGACTGGGGCCTTTGGGTGGAGCTCCCTATGGGGCAGCGAAACGCGTGAGGTGTGTCCCGAAACTGCTGGGGCGACACCCACATGCGAACTGTGCCACTGGGGCCTTGGGTGGGGCTCCCTATTGTGCCACGAACCGTGTGAGGGGTGTGCCGAAACGGGGGCGACACCCACATGCGAACTCTGCGGCATCAGGTAGAGCTCCCTATGGGGCCACGAAACGTGTGAGGGGTGTGCCAAACTGGGGCGGCGCCGCCATGCGAATCCTGCCACTGGGGCATTCGGTGGAGCTCCCTGTGGGGCCACGAACTGTGAGAGGGTGTGCCAAAAATGCGGCGGCGGCGCCATGCGAGCTGCGCCGCTGGGGCCTTCGGTGGAGCTCCCTATAGGGCCACGAAACGTGTGAGGGGTGTGCCAAAATGCGGCGGCGGCGCCATGCGAGCTGCGCCGCTGGGACCTTAGGTGGAGCTCCCTGTAGGGCCACGAAACGTGTGAGGGGTGTGCCAGAATGGGGCGGCGGCGCCATGCGAGCTGCGCCGCTGGGGCCTTAGATGGAGCTCCCTATAGGGCCACGAAACGTGGGAGGGGTGTGCCAAAAATGCGGCGGCGGCGCCATGCGAGCTGCGCCGCTGGGACCTTAGGTAGAGCTCCCCATAGGGCCACGAAACGTGAGAGGGGTGTGCCAACAATGCGGCGGCGGCGCCATGCGAGCTGCACCGCTGGGACCTCAGGTGGAGCTCCCTATAGGGCCACGAAACGTGAGAGGGGTGTGCCAAAAATGCGGCGGCGGCGCCATGCGAGCTGCGCCGCTGGGACCTTAGGTGGAGCTCTCTGTGGGGCCACGAAACGTGTCAGTGGTGTGCCAAAATGGGGCGGCGGCGCCATGCGAACTGCGCCACTTGGGCCACAGGTGGAGCTCCCTACGGGGCCACGAACCGTGTGAGGGGTGTGCCAAACTGGGGCGGCGCCGCCATGGGAACTGCGCCACGGGGACCTTAGGTGGAGCTCCCCATACCTATAGGACCACGAAACGTGTGTAGCGTGTGCCAAAAATGGGGCGGCGGCGCCATGCGAACTGCGCCACTTGGGCCACAGGTGGAGCTCCCCACGGGGCCACGAACCGTGTGAGGGGTGTGCCAAACTGGGGCGGCGCCGCCATGGGAACTGCGCCACGGGGACCTTAGGTGGAGCTCCCCATACCTATAGGGCCACGAAAAGTGTGTAGCGTGTTCCAAAAATGGGGCGGCGGCGCTGGAACCTTCGGTGGAGCTCCCCATACCCTATAGGGCCACGAAACGTGTGTAGCGTGTGCCAGAAATGGGGCGGCGGCGCCATTGGAACTGCGCCACTTGGGCCACAGGTGGAGCTCCCTACGGAGCCACGAACCGTGTGAGGGGTGTGCCAAACTGGGGCGGCGCCGCCATGGGAACTGCGCCACGGGGACCTTAGGTGGAGCTCCCCATACCCTATAGGACCACGAAACGTGTGTAGCGCGTGCCAGAAATGGGGCGGCGGCGCCATGCGAACTGCGCCACTGGGACCTTCGGTGGAGCTCCCCACGGCGCCACGAAACGTGTGAGGGGTGTGCCAAAATGCGGCGGCGGCGCCATGCGAGCTGCGCCGCAAGAACCGTAGGTGGAGCCCCCTTATGGGGCCAAGAAACGTGTGAGGGGTGTGCCAAAATGTGTCGGCGGCGCCATGCGAGCTGCGCCACTGGGACCTTAGGTGGAGCTCTCTATGGGGCCACGAAACGTGTGAGGGGTGTGCCAAACTGGGGCGGCGCCGCCATGCGAGCTGCGCCACGGGGGCCTTAGGTGGAGCTCCCTGTAGGGCCACGAAACGTGTGAGTGGTGTGCCAAAATGGGGCGGCGGCGCCATGCGAGCTGCGCCGCTGGGACCTTAGGTGGAGCTCCCCATAGGGCCACGAAACGTGAGAGGGGTGTGCCAAAAATGCGGCGGCGGCGCCATGCGAGCTGCGCCGCTGGGACCTTAGGTGGAGCTCCCTATAGGGCCACGAAACGTGAGAGGGGTGTGCCAAAAATGCGGCGGCGGCGCCATGCGAGCTGCGCCGCTGGGACTGGAGCTCCCTATGCGGCCACGAAACGTGTCAGGGGTATGCCAAAATGCGGCGGCGGCGCCATGCGAGCTGCGCCACTGGGACCTTAGGTGGAGCTCTCTATGAGGCCACGAAACGTGTGAGAGGTGTGCCAACATGGGGCGGCGGCGCCATGCGAGCTGCGCCACTGGGACCTTAGGTGGAGCTCCCTATCGGGTCACGAAACGTGTGAGGGGTGTGCTGAAACCGAGACATGCGGAGAGCCAAAGCAAGGAGGGAGGAGGAGGAGGAGGAGGAGGAGGAGGAGGAGGAGACGCGGGGCGCTGTCTTTTCAAAACGAGGACCCAACACCACAGGATGTTTGGGAAACACGGCATAAACATAAATGTTTGGCACACCGCGCGGATTTCTTGGATCTGAGCTGGACCCCCCTCCCTGGCGCGCGGAGCGCGCCAGGGGCGACGCCAGAGGAGCCGCCAGGGGGGCCCGGCGCGGATCCGAGAAGCCCGCGCGGAGCGCCAAAAGTTTGCGCTTCATGGCGCTGTTCCTTCTTCGATCCTCGCTTCCCCCCCCCCCCACTCGCCGCCGAGATGTACTTGGACAGGTGCGCCGGCAGGAAGAGGGGCATGGCCATGGAGTCCGCGGGCACCGCAGAAGCGCGGCCACACCAGGCGTCGAAAGAAGGGCGCACTGGGGGACGGCCAGCAGATCCCGGGAGGAGGGAGGAGGGCAGGGGGGGAGGACGGGAGGGCAGGGGAGGGGGGAGGGAGGAGGGAGGGAGGAGAGGGGAGGGAAAGGGCCGGAAGGGAGGGGGAGGGGGAGGGAGGAGGGGGGAGGAGGAGGAGGAGGAGCAGGAGGAGGACGAGGAGGAGGAGGAGGACGAGGAGGAGGAGGAGGACGAGGAGGAGGAGGACAGGGAGGCGGCAGGCTCCCTTACCCTCCTCCTGTCCCCATCACTTGCACGACACGTGACTCGTCCTCGTCGCACCACCGCTCGTGTTGCGAAGGCCGCCTGGGCATTTCGCCTCATCACTTGAGATCCCAAATCGCGAGCTTTCAGCAATCCAAATAAGGATGGACAGCGGGTCGCTTGCAAAATGTGGCTCTCGATTTGGCGCAGATCACACTCGTCATAAAAAACTCCACTATGAAGGGCGGGTGGCTTTCAAAGTATGATTCTCGCCTCAACGCCGAGCACATGCGCCTTGACAGCTTCCAGCAGCTGCAAGGATGGAGGGCGACTCCTTTGCAGAATTGTGGTCCCGCCCGAGACTGCCTGAACACTCATGTCGGCGGCAAACGAGGGGGGAAGTGAGAAGGAAGAGGCCCTCTCAGAAGGCGGCGGGGCTTCTCAGAAGCCCTCCAGCCTCCAAAAAGTGCTCTGTGCCTTCGGGGAAAGCTCAGAGAACCTCTCCGGAGGCCACGGAGCCTCCGAGCCTTCTGAGAAGGCCCGCCCCCTGCCACTTCCGCCCCTGGGCTCGCCGCCGGCTATGACCAGAACTGTGCTCCCGCCCGAAGCCGCCCGAACACTTGCAGTCGGGCTGCTGAAATTCGCCGGCCCAGCGGGCCAGAGGCGTGCTAAGATCTCCGGTAACTGGTCAACAATATTTCCAGTTCGCGCGCGCGGAGCGGCCCCTGGGGGCCCCCTGACGAAAAGTACCCTGGCAAGGCCCCCGGAGAAGCCACCAGAGCACTCCAGGGGAGGGCCATTTTTCGACACCCCTCACGAGGATCGTGGCCTCCGAGGGGGGGGAGTCGACTACCCCCCCTCCCGCCCCAAGAGGCCCCCAAAAGCCCCCCGAGAGGCCCTGGGGGCCCCCAAGACGCCGCCAAGGAGCCCCAAGAGACTCCCAAGAGGTCCCCAAGAGGCCCCCAAGAGGCCCTAAAGAGAGCTCCAGGGCCAGCGGAATGAGCGAAGCGATTAAATAAGGAACGTTCAATAAGGAACGAAGCCCATTGTTGGCCCCAAGGGCGCCTGCGTGGAAGAGGAGCGCCAGAGAAACAGCCAAGAAGGACCTAGGGAGAGTCGAGCCCTTCCGAACCCACCAAACTCTTCCTTATTTCAACGCCTTCGCTGTGTGACCAAAATTCTGCGCCAACCATCCGACACGGATGCAGGGAAGCTCCTCTCCAAACTGGGGCTGCCGACGGACACTTTTTTCGGCCAGGCAGGGGCCATCTGCGCTGGCGGAAGGCGCGAAGCAAACGCGGGGGCACCGTTGCGGCGAACTGGCCCGCGTGCAAGAGGGGGGGAGCAGGGACAGAGCGGGCGGCCGCGAGGAGGGGGAGGAAGGCGAGGGCCGCTCAGGGGGGAACGGGCCACTCCCCGAGTGAGCTGGCGCGGCCGCCTGCCGCCGGACACGCGCGCGGGAGAGCCCAGAATCGCATCGACAAGTCGGATCGGCGATCGAAATCGATCGGATCGGCTGAGATCGGCAGCCGAAACGGCAAAGGGCGCATCGGCGGAGATCGGCAGCTCGGCAGGCCCCCATAGCAGAAGCGGGGCCCGCCTCGGAGGCCGCGGCCGAGCCGGAGGGGAATCGGAGGCCGCCGCGATCGGATCGGAGCGGGTTGGGATGAGTCGAAGTGACCCCTGGCGCGTGGCCTCTTACCAGCCTGGAACATATCCCTATCCCTACGTTGGGCATCGCCTCATCACGATGGCGATCTTGGGGACTTCCTCGGTTTCTGAGGGCGTATCCCCAAGAGTGTCATCTCCTCTTCGCGCGTCAGTCTTAGGGATAGGGACAGGTTCGAGGCTGGTGAGCCTCTGCGTGACCCCACCTCTCCGCACTCCCGGTGGCCAGAGGGGTGCAGCGCTGCCGGCGCTCGGGGCGGGGCCGGCGCGGGAGGGGCAGGCCCCCGGGGCGCTCGTCTGCCCAGCGGGACCTGCTGGCAGCGAGAAGAAAGGCACGCTCGGCGTCGCAGACTTCGGAGGGAGGGCCTTCGGACGGGAGGGTGTCCTACAGCGTCGCGCATGCATCCTCCTATGGTCCTCCTCCTCCTCCTCCAACACCTCCTCCTCCTCCTCCTCCTCCTCCTCCACCTCCTCCTCCCGCCTCCTCCTCCTCCACCTCCTCCTCCCGCCTCCTCCTCCTCCGCCGCCTCCTCCTCCACCCCTCCTCCTCCTCCTCCTCTCCTCCTCCTCCTCCTCCTCCTCCTCCTCCTCCCCTCCCATGCAGTGCACCTCCTCTTCGTAGTAGTATGATTCGAAGTAGTACTACTGAGACTAGCTTGATTAGAAATAGCCATATAATAATAATGTTTAGTATTACTAGTGTTATGGCTACTGATACTAGTACAAGTACTAGTACTATAATGACTGATATTTTCGCATTCGAAATACTAATTGTCGCAGTATTTGTATGACTATAGCTCACAGCATTAATATCAATATTATTCTGAATAATACAAATAGTATTAGTAATAGTGTTGTTGCTGAAATTATGTTATTCTTGCTATTGGTATTCATACTGCGAATATAAGTACTACAATATCCTTATTACGACTACTATTAGTATTGCTAATGCTATGTGTTCCTCCTCATCATCGTCATCATCACCAGCAGCAGCAGCATCAGCAGCATCATCATCGTCATCAGCAGCAGAATCATCACCGTCAGCATCATCAACAGCATAATCAGCGTCATCAGAATCGCCATCAGCAGCAGCATTATCATCATCATCAGCAGCATCATCTCTTCATCATCATCAAAGTCATCATGATCAGCATCATCAGCATCATCATCATCATCACCAGCAGCAGCATCACCATCATAATCACCATGATCATCATCATCATCATCATCATCACCACCACCACCACCACCACCAACACCACCACCACCACCACCACCACCACCATCATTGTCATCATCATCATCATCATCATCATCATCAGCATCATCATCATCATCATCATCATCATCATCATCAGCATCAGCATCAGCATCATCATCATCAGCATCAGCATCAGCATCAGCATCATCATCATCATCATCATCATCATCATCAGCAGCATCATCATCATCATCATCATCATCATCATCATCATCATCATCATCATCATCAGTAGCAGCAGCAGCATCCGTTGTCTCCCTCTTCCCTCCCCAACCTCTTTCTCCTCCTCCTCCTCCTCTTCCTCCTACTCCTCCTCATCATCATCCTCCCCCTCCAGAGCCTCCCGAGCCTCCATAGCCTCTCTTGTCCTCATCCCGCTCCGTTTCCGCGTACTCCTCCTCCTCCTCCTCGTCCTCCTCCTTCAAGCACGGTCGACTTGAAGCGCCTCGAAGGCGTTTGGGCTTCAGGTGTGACGAGCGCCTCCTGAGACTGTACGGATGTTCCGAAATCATCCTGTGGTGTTCGGTCCTCGCTTTGAAAAGACAGCGCCCTGTGTCCTCTTCTCGTCTCCTGTTTCCTCCATATCCTCCCTGCACCCATCCTTACCTCTGCTTTCCGAATCACTCACAAATTTCGGCACGCTCCCCACGCGGTTCGTGACCCCATAGGGAGCTTCACCGAAAGCCCCAGTGGCCGCGTTCGCATGCGTCCGCCCCACCCACTAGAGCGTTTCGTGGCCCCAAACGGGGCTCCAACGAAAGGCCGATTGGCCGCGGCCGCATGCGTTTGCGCCACCCAGTACGGCGCTTCGTGACCCCAGAAGGAGCTCCACCAGAGGCCCCAGCGGCCGCGTTCGCACGCGCCCGCGCCACCCAGCACAGCGCTTCGTGGCTCCACAAGGAGCTCCACCGAAGGCCTTCGCGGCCGCGTACGCATGCGTCCGGCCCACCCAATACAACGTGTCGTGGCCCCACACGGAGCTCCACCGATGACCCCTGTGGCCGCGTTCGCGTGCGTCCAACGCTTCGGCGTTCCATACGGAACTCCACCGAAGGCCCCAGTTGCCGCGTGGGCGTGCGTCCGCGCCACCGAGTACAACCGTGGCCCCATCGGGGATTTCACCGAAGACCCCAGTTGCCGTGTTCGGTTGCCGTGTTCGCATGCGTCCGCGCCACCCACCGCATCGTTTCCATCGGAAGCTCCACCGAAACCCCAGATGGCGGCGGCCGCATGTATCCGCGCCACCCAGTACAGCGTTTCGTGGCCCGTAGGGCTCAACCGAGAGACCCACTGGCCGCGGCCACATACACCCCCCCCACCCACCCGCCCAATACATCGGTTGGTGCCCCCCTCGTTAGAGAGCTCCACCGAAGGCACCAGAAGCCGCGTTCGCATGCGTCCGCCCCACCCACTACAGCGTTTCCACCCATTACATGCGTGGCCCCATGAGGAGCTCCTCCGAACGCCGCGGCCGCATGCGCCCGTGCCACTGAGTACAACGCTGCGTGGCCCCATCGGGGGCTCCACCGAAAGCCCCAGCTGCCGCGTTCGCATGCGTCCGCGCCCCACCCACTGCAGTGCTTCGTGGTCCAATAGGGAGCTCCACCGAAAACCTCAGTGGCCGCGGCCGCATGCGTCCCCCCTTCACAACATTACAGCGTTCGGTGGCTCTCTTCGGGAGGCCGCACTGGTGACCGCGGCCGCGTACGCCACCCCCCCGCCCAGTACTTCGCTTCGTGTCCCCATGGGGAGGAGCTGCACCGAACCCCAATGGCCGCGGCCGCATGTTTATGCCCCCCAGTACAAGACACCCCATCACCCGTTTCGTAGCTACACATGGGAGCTCCACTGAAACCAGCTCCCACAACGCGCCCAAGCACTGCACGCAGGCACTGCACGCAAGCACGCACGCACGCACGCACGCACGCACGCAAACACGCACGCGCGCACGCACGCACGCACGCACGCACGAACGCACGCACGCACGCACGCACGCACGCACTCTCT